AAAAAAAAAAAAAAAAATATATATATATATTCTTCAATCAACCAAAAAGAAAGAGAGAGAGGGACAGGGGCATTACAAAACATAACAGGAATGGCCTATATAACTCCATAGTATTTGCTTCAGGGTCATATTGCAGTTTGGTGTTGATTACTTAACTTTACAAGTTCAAGCTCATTGTAGCTACCAGTTCTATGAAGACAGACTTCTTGTGGGCCTACTGTTTTATGAAAAACGACAAAAAAAAATTGTCTTAAAAAAAAAAGTCAACTGTTGTGGCTGTTGTGGACCCGAGACTTTTGTTTTGACCAGTACTGAAAAACACGGTTAAGATTATATTTCAAAAGTATGCCTTAACAATGTGTACTCCATGAGTATTTGTTGTATGGATTCAATGTCTTGAGGATATGGTACACTTGTGAAACTTGATGCTGTTCTTCTCTTCTCAGGTGCATTTTACTTCTGTTCGAGTCGGACTAAGATGAGGAAAAGCAGCAGTAAGACTGGAATGTTTTAACCAAACCTTTCATATTTGGACTGACTGAGAAATTAAGTCATTAATCAGGGATTTTTAATGAGCACTTTACATATGATTAATACATTTGTACTTTTAACTTATAATGAAAGTTTCATTTCAGATTTTATGTTTGATTTTCATCCTTATTAAATAAGAGTTGTCAGAAAATGATTTGGCCAGTTACTTGTTTTTGTTATTTTACACGATATGGGAGCTTCTTATTTCTAATAAATCTTGATTTTATTCTTCTGAAATGTCTGCATTGTTTTATATAACCCCTTTATTCTGGCTTTATGATTAAATCCCCAGAGTTAAATCAACTCTGCTCAGAGTACATATTGTCCCAATCTACAGAGTGTTAAAGTAACACTGAAGCCGAGTTAAAGTTAATAGGATAATTAAGCAATTTATTAATACTCACTCATCAATTAATGAAGAAAACCCGCTGTTAACAATGTTGAAGATGAACAACTACTGCTCAGGCTTTTAGACATGAAAGCATATCACAATCCTCAACAGTGGTAACTCTGCTTCAGTGTTGCTTTAACACTGTAGATTGGGACAATATGTACTCTGAGCAAAGTTGATTTAACTCTGGGGATTTTGCACTTGTTTCTGTTATTAGTCATACAGCCCTAGCAGTCATATGCGGTTGCGTATGAACCACTATATGAACTCCGTTAAAACAAGCATTACAAATATTCCTCTGCAAACTTTTATTGGGAGCAAAGTATTTTAGGCTCAGACCCTGAGCGTTTCAGGAAACCTGTTCACCTGGAAGCGTTGCACCCTTTTTCCATCTGGCAGCTCTCCAGTGACACAGAAATGGACCGAAGACCTGTTCGGTGTGTCTACTAGAAACACAGCTCGGTTATAAACCGTAAAGTTAAGGGTGTGAATTATACATGTACTCTTATCAACTACTGCAACATCATCGCTTTTCACCTAACATTATGATTACAAACTCTGCCTGCCAGACAAATATAAGAGTTTAAAGACACACCCTGCTATTGTGTATCTGGATATTTGAGCCATTAAATACTCAAGTCTTTCACAATCACAGTAAACGGAAAATAAGGGAGAGGAAGGTAACCACTGGAAAAGTCATGAAAATCATACGTGGAAGGACTGGTTTCGCGACATAGCTGACGTGGGGTTTGTTTTGATATGCAATAAAAACTCAAGCAGTAGAGAGTTCAGTAATCGTGCTGAAATGTCTCTCATGTTGTAAACTCATGGCAGTACTACCTCACATTAACCACTGTTTCCATGGAAATGCAAATTACGACTCCTATTATTAATTCATTAGCACTGTCAAGAAATCAACCTGTGCAACAAGCAGAACAAGACGGCGCAGATGGACAGCGGGTCATGTTTCCCATCAACACCTGAGGTGTGAGAGCGATATCAAATTATCCGAATACCTTCAAATCACACAACCCTGAAGAAACCATTGACTGTGGCAGAAGAAAACATCCTCTTGTTCCTGTCACTGTGACCGTCCTGCTGCAGAATATGGAAAAGATGCTCTTTAATTATCCTTTAACAAGGTAATGTTACCTTTGAAGAAATACTGGCTACTGCGGTAAATACTAGAAAAATCACGTGATAGTTGATTAGAACCTCCTGAAAAATAGGCACGATAAATAGGAAACACTTAAAAAACACTGAGCAACAATTAATTCCACGTCATTACATTCTATTTATGTGATAGTTGATTAGAACCTCCTGAAAAAATCAAATATAAATAGGCACGATAAATAGGAAACACTTAAAAAACACTGAGCAACAATTAATTCCACGTCATTACATTCTATTTAACAATAAGTTTCTGTCAACAAACTAACTATAGAATCTTTATCCATAACTCATTTTCCTTTGTTTCCTAACCTGATTCTAATGAGTAATCGGCAACAACCTGAAAAGAAAATGTAGTATATTTCACAATAAATCATTCATATCCTTATTGTGGCAAACCCTCCCCTCTGGGTGTCCTTTAACTTCACAAGGAGAGTCAACAAAGCCTTTCACAATAATGGACCGGCTGTTGTTGACCTACTATTGATAACAAAAGAACAAGAGGCTCTGGTTTAAAGACGCAAGGCGGTTTCTCTCATTTGGATTTCTCTAAAAAAGTGGGATACTGTTGCGACAGCATTTATATCATCCTGCACAGAAGTGTCGTACAGCGCCATCTAGACGACACAATCATAATCTTCAGCAGTCACACAAATACAGAACAGAAATTATGGAGTTTTTCATTTAATTTATAAAAAATGCATATACCCACTGAAGCTGAACAACATCTACCACTTATTTTTCCTTGTGGAACATGTACTATCTGTGAGACTCTTTCAGTTGTTTGAACAGAATAAAATAATATTAACAGGCAAAGAGACATCTTCAACACAAATTTAACAAACACAGCCAACGACATCTTGAATATAAAAGGAAAAACAATGGGGAGGAAAGGAAATATCAGAAACAAAAGGTAAGTGCAGTAATGATCCCAATTGTATAAAATATTATTTTGCATTTTTTTTCTTTCATCTTCTGCAGTTTCCTGCAGTCAGGAAACTAATCAGATACAGCACATTTTCTCAACACGTTCATGCAAGCTGATATATTTTAAAGTACAAATGGAAATATATTTATCTCATAGGTTATTGGTTAAAATATGAAAAAGAGGATGCGAGTAAACATCATTTTGATATGATGTAATGGCAAATAACTCAAACCCTCAATAGTGTTTTTTTTTTCTGGAAAAAAAAATACAATAAAAATGAAGAAATTACATTCATTTCCATCACCACGAGTCCACGTCTTTAAAAATGAAAAGAAAAAGCAACCTCACTTCAGCACTGCCTGTTAAGTTGAGTATTTGTGCCTCAGGAAACACATACAAATAAGATCCTAAAGTACACATACGACAAAATACTGCATATCTACTAAAGACTGCATTAGGTAGGTGGACATGGTAGCTAGCTGCCATAAACCCTCAATAGTGTTTTTTTTTTTTCTGGAAAAAAAAAATACAATAAAAATGAAGAAATTACATTCATTTCCATCACCACGAGTCCACGTCTTTAAAAATGAAAAGAAAAAGCAACCTCACTTCAGCACTGCCTGTTAAGTTGAGTATTTGTGCCTCAGGAAACACACACAAATAAGATCCTAAAGTACACATACGACAAAATACTGCATATCTACTAAAGACTGCATTAGGTAGGTGGACATGGTAGCTAGCTGCCATGATACAGGAAAAAAAAACCTCCCCACATTTCCCTTTGCCCAAGAGAAAAAAACACTCATTTTTCCATCTGTGAATATGAAGCTGAAATAAGGAGCAGGTTCACATTTTAAGAGCTAATCGGTGTTAAACGATGTTTGGCAAGTCCATATCTGACCTGTCTTTTCAGTCGAATGCAAATGTTCAAGACTGGGAACAGGGGAATCTCGAGCACACATCTGATACGCATGCGTGACATTACGTTAATATTTATATTGGTCATTGGTCGGTCGTTTGTTCGGTAACACAAAGGGGGCTCGTCTATTTGCTCTCCATCCATGTTCAGCCCAGAGTTCATAGTGATGGAGACCTTCTCTGCTGGGTTACACCCACAATTCATTTCATTTTATAACTTCAAGTAGGCTATATTAATATATGTGTGTGCATATATCTGTGAGTATTTACCTAATTATGTAAAAGGCCCACCGTCCCTCCTTCAGAACAGCAACCTCTCTCTTTTCTCCTCCACCTCACATTTGTCTCACCCCGATTCTAATCGTTACTTCTCTCCAAAATCCACTGACTTTCATCTCACCTCACTATTTGGCACCTTGGATTCATTAACAGGTGATGTGGCTGCAGCAGGTGCGTGGCTGGCGGGGAGAAACAAAAAATGGTTTGAGGTCAAAGGTCGCGACATGGCTGCCCTAGTCAGTGGCGTTCTGCTTGTCTCTCTCCGCTGTGACGGGGACGGTGTTCCCTCCATCTTCAGTCTTGGCTCTTTTGGTGTCAGGCTGCTCTGCTTGGTCTCCGTTCTGCCGTTTGGTTGGTAGAGACGCTGAGGCCGAGGCATGGGTCGCCAGCATGTGCAGAGAACTCGCTGAAAAACAGCAGACGGATCGCGTTAGCTGTGCGCAAGACACGCTAAAGCAACGCTCTGGGTTCAAAGCTAGAAACTGCCAACTATAATACATCAGTTTGTAAAAACACACAAATGTGCTGATGGGAAGTCTGTGATTTTTATAGATTCATAACCATATAGAGGAGTGTGGACCAGAAGCCTGTGAGCACTAGTGAAAATGTAGCTCTTTTCCTGTTATGTGCAAACTGTCCTGACTGCCCTAAACCTAACATTAAAATCAACCACCAGGGGCAGCACTTCATTTCTTTAAAGGCTAATGCCCGGTTCAGACTACATTATTTTAGCCCGATTGTGCCACGATTTGCTTGACGTAGGGTGTCGTGGGGATTCGTAAACGACAATGGGCGTCGGGACGCAAGATTCCATCGTTTCAGCTCGTGTAGTGTGTCAGTGAATGACAACCGATTCCGCGTCTGCGATGCTTCACGACATCACGACAGAAAGACTAGCATGTTTAATATTTTTTCCGTCGTCCACGACGAGTTCTGTCACATTGGTGATGTTGACCAATAGCAGCACAGAAACTCTTTCATACACAGGTTTCAAACATGGCAAAACAAAAGAGAGATGATGGTGCTGCTAGGTGGAATTATGAGATGGAGGAAAGGTTCGTGGAGCTGTGGCAACAGTACTCCTGCCTGTATGATGTGTCATCGAGGGACTGGAAACATCACAAATTGAAATGGTTTCATGGTGCTCGTTGTTGTATTTTAAAACACAATAGCAATGTTTGCAAATGACATTATCGGCATTTAAAATAAAATGATCCCAAACGTTACTACAGTGCGTTGCCGCTGTACCGCACAGTCAGTGAATACAATACAATACCCTTCCACCAGCAGTAGCCTACGGCAAAACACACTGTTGCTCACATGAAACATTTTTCTGAGTAGTATGACAAGTGAGGTACAAAGCTTTGTTTATTAGAGAAATAATTGGTTTGCAGGCAAATGTTACACCGCCACTATGCTTTTTGGATTTTTTTTTTTCTTTTGTTCGAGCCCATAAATTTAAATCAAGCCATACGTGGCTTTGTGTTCCGTCTTGGGGGTTGGTCACGAATTTCCACGATTTTAATATTGGTTTCTTTTCCCAAATCCTCACCCTCTAATTTCGAAGAGTTAATTGCAAAAGCAGGGTCTTTTGCAATTATTTTTTGCAAAAGACCCTGCTTAATCGGCCATCGATAGATTTAATCGATTACATCTCTTATCGATAATTAATTGATCGTCGATTAATCGTTGACATCCCTAAATTCAACTGAAAAATATTAAAGGAATCATGAACTGCCTCTGTTTTTTATTTTGTATTGTTTTCTGAGGTCCACTTATAATGTCATCAAGATTTTTACATCAAAAAACTATTTTGAAGTAATAGGCTATTTTCTGTCCTGTTTTTGACACCCTCATCAGAACGATCCATTTGAATAGGTGTGGCGGATTGCAGACTTGGAAGTAAACGCCCACTGCTATGAGTGACTTGTAAATGTTTGACAGTCTACGTCCTTCACAGATGTGATTTAGGTTAAAAACGCATAAATACTCAGTACATATCAAACGATCTGTTTAACAGACAAAGCAATAGTGATCACGTCATAAAAACAGTTACTCATACTTGTGTGTTGTGACATGACTCTTGGAAACAATATAGTCGGCACAGCATCAAGATAATGATCCCAAAATTCATTTTAACGTTGGGATCAGAAGGAAGGCAATGCAAATACGTTTTTTTTTTTTCCACAACCCGGCACTGCACAGCACCTTGTTGTCTTCAGAGCCATCTTTATCTTTTGGCTTCTGCATAGACCTGCATGTTCGCCCCTTGTAAACACCATGTGCATATCGACATTGATGTTGCATGTTGTTATCTCAGAAACAGTTTCAGCCATCACATTGAATCAGGTAAACTGGTTATATATTTATGTTTCAGTATAATTACGCACGCTATACCAGGGGTGGTTCTAAACCCTTTTTAGGTGGGTTTCAGCCCCCCTATCTGTCACCTTAGCCCCCCAAAGCTCTTAACGATCAGGCCAGTGCTGCTTCCTCGAGAAAGTTTTTCATTCTCACGTGTTTTAAGTCTTGTCAGTTTAAACATTAAAGTAATTTTAAGCCATTTAAGCCCAAGACATCTCCGTGTGGTACGCACGCGCTGTGATAAAGCGTTTCTATGCGCACCGCTCACACACCTGAAGTGCACAAACAGATAGCCTTCTCAGACAGCAGGTGAATACCAATGGCTGTCTTGACAAGACATTGTAAGCACAGTCGGTTGTTTTAAGTGAATGTAAACAGTAAAGAAAATATCAAATGTACATCAGTATAATGGATCCGTGCATTTCTTATGTAAATAATGTTAATCAAAAAGAGCAAAAGAAAAATAGTTCACTGCTTTAATAGCTTTAATGGATATTTGCTTTATGTTAATGTTAATAAAGTAATTTGGTGTGACTGCAGTAAAAACGGGGGGGGGTTTGGGGTGTTGGATGTTGGGGGGGCGCGAGTGAAATTAGACAAACTTGGGTGGGCGCATGTCCTAAAAGTTTGAAACCCCCTGGAGTAGAACATTCCAAAAGTTGTCGTTTTGGCAGACTGCCTTCAATATAAGCTGTTTTTAGACTAACGACAAAGTTTTGAGTTCTAAAACTTACAGGATGTTTTATAGCACAATGACCTCTTATATGTCAAAAGATCAAGGGAATTTTGGTTTCTAAGTTCATAATTCCTTTAAAACAATGTAATTCACACTTAGAAAAAATAAAATAGTGTAAGAATATACGTTTAATATATACGTTTTAAGTCCATGCAGACCTCTAATTCTGTATGCTCACCTTTGAGCTCTCCGTTTTCATGCGGTTCTGCTTTAACGATGCTGGACTGGGTAAACACAGGCTCTGGCAAGTGTGTGTTGGCTGTAGACAGTCCGGTTACGGTCGCAATGGAAACAGCAGGGATCTGATGCACCACATGGACAGTCTGCATGACAGGCTGCTGGGATGTGGAAGTGGACACCGGTGTGGCGACGGCGTAGGTCACAGGTTTGATGGTGTGCGGTAGCTGCCGCTGAACTGTGATGAGAACCGGTTGGGTGTTGAGAGGCGAACCTGTGTGGTTTTAAGTTTGGTTAAAATGCAGCTGACCAGCAGTGGGAAAACACAATCTGACAGTAGAACAGTGGTTCGCAAACTGGGGTACGGTGGGGGGTACGCGAACAAAATTCTGAGTTTTGGCATTCATTTAATACCCCAACTTAAAGCAACATTAAAACCGAACATGTATTTCTGACAAGCAAAATGCCGCTTCCAATGTAAAAACAGGAAAATGGGAGTTCCGTAAACGGTCAAATACATGATATCCAATCAGCTTACCTCATTTTTTTGCGGTCAAAACTGACTGCATCCACACAAGCAGCATGCATGTGATAGGATGGCCGCTGAATGTAGCCTACATTTTGAACAGAATATTGTCATGTTTGTTCTATTTTGCAACGAAATAATAGTTCCAACGAAATCCGTATCATCTGGTGTGCGTCTCCAAGCATCATACAGCAGTGTTTCGTTAGTGAACGAATCTGCGGCTTTGAACGATTTGGAGAGTCAGTGATTAATAACCCATTCATAACTACAGCATTTTGCTTCCTTACTGAATGAATGAATGAATGAATGACGCGACGCCTGACTCATTAAGACAGCGACTTGCCGCCACCTATTGTTTTATTTTTAAATCTACAAGTATCATTTCGATTTGCCATCATTTATTGCTTTATTTATTATAGCACAATGACCTCTTATATGTCAAAAGATCAAGGGAATTTTGGTTTCTAAGTTCATAATTCCTTTAAAACAATGTAATTCACACTTAGAAAAAATAAAATAGTGTTTATTTTAACACTATTAAAATAAAAATAGATCCAAGAAAGATACAACTAGATGTGGTGCACTGAAACGTGAAATTGAGGGATGTGTGGATGTAAAGGAAAAGGATGCATTAGATTTGTAACAAGACAAAAATAAGTAAAAACTGTAGTTGAAAATAAGACATAATTAACCACCAAGCTCTAATAAACGTACTAAGTTATGCCACATAAATTCTGAAATGCTGGCTGTAATTATAATGTAAATACATGGCGATAACACAGTTGGTTCCTGACCTGTGTTGCCAGATCCTTGGACAGCAGTGACCACATGCGTCCCATTCTGAGTGATGGCCTTGACGGGCAGCTGATGCTGGCCAATTGGAGCCTGTTGCACTATGGTAACGGTCTGTATTGGGCTGGACTTGGACATCTGAAGAATGCGACTCGTCCCACCTATAGAAGTGGTTGTAATAGCAGGCACCGGCTCCACTTTCACTGAGAAAAATGTAAAAACAGCATTAAAGATGAGCAGTTCTCTCTGACATCTGAAATGGTTAATGTACATCCAGCCTGTCTTAATCCAAACCACTTCACGATGATACACCGGCTGGATATACATTATCCTGCTCATTACATGGCTACTTGCCACATAAGTAAAGAACTGGACGTGAAATATTGATTCGAGTTAAACTCGAATAAAAAAAACGTTCAGCAAGTGGCTTTGAGCCAAGATGGACGAACAAATTCAGACAAACATTTAAGGAATAGTCAGACCACTGATTACAAGGCTTTTCACCAAATAAATAGATACATGGACAAAAAATAGCATCTAAAGGCCGGGAAACACCAAGCCGACTTCAAAGAACTAGCGGCGATCGCCTCGGTGTTGTCGCTTCGCATCGGCAGCGTCAGACAAAAATCTGCACTTGAACACACCACACATACTACAGCCGACTGCAAACTAACACGTGCGTTCTGGAATGAGCGGTCTATATCAGCAGCTATCAATATTATATATTCGTCATTTAAAAGGAGAAACCGAAGCAAGGATATATGAGATGTACGTAGATATACAAAACGTAAACAAAACAGCGCTTGCGTACTATTTTAAATATCAGTTATGTTGATAACTTTCTTAATTTTAATCGACGTTATGAAAATATTCGCATATTGGAATGCTTGGGTAAGATCACGTAACATTAGAACAGCCTTCTCTCACTCATTAAGACAGCGACTTGCCGCCACCTATTGTTTTATTTTTAAATCTACAAGTATCATTTCGATTTGCCATCATTTATTGCTTTATTTATTATATTAATAATACACTTAATGAAATGTTAAGAATATGACATAAAACATAACATACAATTAATAAGGTTAGAAAATCTTTGCCTCTATAAAGGTAAAAGATGCACCTGCAAATCAATTTAAGGGGGCAAAGAATATGACATAAAACATGACAAAATTAATAAGGATAGAAAATATTTGCCTCTATAAAGGTAATAAATGCACCTGTAAATCAATTTAAGGGTGCAAATATTGTCCTTTCTCTGTGCCGCCTGCATTTACTTGCTAGGTTTCATCACTTTCGCTTTAATTCTCCTGCACAGACTCGTTCGCTAAACTGAACATCCAATCAGAGTTCTCACTCTCGCCGACAGCCCCGACGTAGATTCAACATGTTGAATTGGACAAACTGCCACCGACGTGAGCCCGATGTGAGGTGACGTGGATCACACCAAACAAACCAGCCCGACAGACGCTCGCCGACCTTAAAGAGTTGGGAGAAAACCGGATGCATGTCAGATGCGCGTCATGTGATAAGGTTTTAAAGAGACAGCGCTGCTTTTAAAGTGCAATCTGCTGCAGTCCGTTATTGATGTAAATCAATGAGAAATCACTCACTGCTCTGCTCGCTGATTAACTTTTGTAACTTGGAAAAAAAAAAAAATCACATGACAAAATTAATAAGGATAGAAAATATTTGCCTCTATAAAGGTAATAAATGCACCTGTAAATCAATTTAAGGGTGCAAATATTGTCCTTTAATAGAAAAGGTGTGACTGCGGTCTAAGTGGAAGAGAGGGGGTACGCAGAAGAATGTTAAATGCCCCAGGGGGTACGCCGCTGTAAAAAAGTTTGAGAACCACTGCTCTAGAACAACGCCCCACACATGATGATTAGCATCTCTCTAAAATATAAAGGACGCTACATATTTACAGGTTCATTTATACAGCGAGCAAACAACAGTAAATGTGATACTACAAGTCCAATGTGCTGTTTTAAAATTAAATAACTGAAAAAGGGTGGAAAGGACCATGTGTTTATTACATTAAACACATTGAAGGCTTCCATAATTTCTCACTACTGAATTTCCATGAATTTTCCAGGCATTTGTGTTATCTGGATAAGGATGCTTCAAAACTGATTTGATTCAGACTGATTCACCAGTGAACCAACCAATTTGTGAACATTATACTCAATACACAATTCCTAAACTACTCTTAATTTCAGCAAAGGCCATATTTTAACTCGTGCATGAGGAATGACCTTACCTGGAGCATTTTGTGCAAAGCAAGCCTCTTGTATGACTGCTAATTTGGGCTGAACGGCTGGAGTAGGAGCGGAAGCAGGCGTGGGCTCCGGGTCCATAGGAACAGGTGATCCTTCTCTTGATAAGCTGTCGGGAGTCTGAACGCCGCTGGAGTGGGCCGACAGTGCCCCCGTGTGGTTAGGAGACGCTGGAGCGCTCCTGAAATGAGACGGGAAGAAAACTGTATGAATAAACTCAAGGTACATTGTTCATGAAGGCCTGTTTGTTTAAAAGCATGGGAAGAAAGCATTCAATCTCTGGGACCCACACCACCATAAAAGCATATAAGAGCAATTTAAGTCTGTTTGTTACAAAGTGTGACTACATCAATTTAGGAACAGTTCATCTAAAAATGACAATAGTCTTACAGCAACAAAAAGGGAAGAATACTAATGATCACCTGGATGAGAGCGGCCCAAGTGGGGTCCTAAAACATGGCACACCGCGCGGCCTGCGCTTGCGGAAAGCTTGTTCGATGAGCTTTCCCTCAGATGAGGGGTCTATTCTCCAGAAAGAGCCTTTGCCCGGCTCCTCTTGAGATCGGGGCACTTTGATAAAATAGCGGTTTAAAGACAGATTGTGACGAATCGAGTTCTGGGAGAGTGAAAAAGCAACAAAAAGGTTAACGTTTTCGCAACCGCTTAAGGTAAAAATGTAACTTCATTTGACACTTGTAAGGATGAAGCAGTTAATAAGAGATGATGTGCAAATCCACTTATAGAGCGGGTACAGGTTTTTTTTTGTGGCAAAATAATTTAATGTTAGTTTTGCCCCATGATCACACTCCAGTAGAACACTCTTTATTTGTGTGCAAAATGAGCAATAGCTTTGCACCCTTTAGGGCTGGGACGATAAATCGATGCAGAATCGATTCGTGGATCGAGTCTGGGATTTTCAGAATGCGTCGCGATTCTGAGCTTAGATTTTAACAGCAGATGGCGCTCTAATCTAGTTTTTATCCGCACACTCAAATGCTGATGAAGAGGAGTGCTAAAGACCGCTTGTGCGTTCGGCTGAGTCATGTAACGTTAATTTCACCAGTGGTGGACAGTAACTAAGTAGTTTTACTTCGTTACTGTACTTAAGTACATTTTTCAAGTATCTGTACTTTACTGGAGTAGTTTTATTTTGAGTAACTTACTTTTACTTTACTACATTCCAAAGCATAAGACCGTACTTTTTACTTTACTACATTTCATAAAACTTATCGTTACTCCTTATAATATATCACGTGCTCCGACACGAAGAAGCGGTGTCTGATTCATGAACGAACTGATTCTTTTCAATTAACCCGTTAAATCGGTTCTCAAATCGCACCAAACGATTCATTCACGAATTGGAAAGATCTGATTGCAGCTGTTCTCGAGTTGACAACTCACTGATTCAAATGATCCGTTTAGTGCGAGTCTCCAGTGAACTGAATTCACAAGTAAGAACCGGGAGATCTTGTCAGCGCACGCGCGTCTGATGTTGTTAAAAGTAAGTTACTAATGTCGAATTTTAGGATTAATTATTGTAACTGAAAATCATATTTAGGTCAAAGCTGTCAGTTGTTTACTAACTAAATCTGCTGTAAAGGGTGACATGTTTAAGCCCACTGAAATGCTTGATGCAGACACATCAACATCAGAGTCTCTATGTTTTAGGTCAAAAAACAATACAATAGCTCATGCACGTTCATCTTCCCCGCTGATGTAACGGTAGCAGTTTTACTAAAATGCTATGCATTTAGCCCAATGTGACGTCTGTTTTTATATTGTTTGTCAGCACACATAGCCTAAGTTACTATGTATCTGGATCAACTAGCTGAGTAGACAAATATAAATGTTTATTCATTCATAACCATGCTGAAAATAAGCCAATAATGTTAGCTGATGCTAACTGTCTAGCTAAGGAGCTTGCTGGTGCTAAATCAAGGTAATTTTTTTTTAAATAAAGTCCAAATATTTTTATTCAGATAGATTACATCTGAGGGAAAGAGAAAGGATGTGATGTTCAGAACATGGTAACTACAGTAATTAAAACACTGGACACACACACCCCTTTTTATAGGCCGTTCATTCTAGTAAATAAATTAACACATTTGTATTTTCACTCGAGTAAAATTGAAAACTGAGTACTTTTACTGGAGTAATATTTTATTATACAGATCTGTACTTTTACTCAAGTACTTGATTTGTGTACTTCGTCCACCACTGAATTTCACCTCAGCTCAGAATGCTTTTATGACGTGAGATTAACGTAAACACAGCCAACTGTGAACACCCTTGTAATTCGCTTCAACCTCTTCGAATTTTATGAATGATCATTTTATGTTCAAGTGGGTGTAAGGATTTGGAAACAAGCAGAGTACAGCTGTTTCTAAAGCATGCAGCGCCATCTGCTGTTCAAAACTAAGCTCACAATCGACTCAAGAAAGAATCGCGATGCATACGGAAAATCTCAGAATCGATGCGGAATCATTTCTCGATTCGCGATGCATCAATTTAGTTTCCCAGCCCTAGCGCCCTTACTCCGACTCTGTGGCTTGAGAGTTTGGTGTCGTGTCTGTCCCATCTTTCAATAACAGCCTCATTGAAAAGTCTGCATTACATCCTGACAGCATGTGTAATATGCACTGAAATGTGCCAAACAAACTGTAAGAGTCAGACTGAAACAAGCAACAGCCATGCTTAAAAAAAACCCTTGTTTCAAATGCTGAGATCCTTCAGAAGGGTCTGCAGAGCTTTAGGTGCTACACACAATCAGTAGAGCAGAGGTTTGGAGTACTTCTCAGTAGGGTTGGGTACCGAAACCCGGTATGTACTAGAACCGAATCAGAACACAGATTTCGTTGCATTGTCTGAGTGATCGATTGAAATATTTGTCCTCTGGTTCTCTGAAACGGACGTAAGAAGCATCATCACCGGCACCGCACGTGAAAAATTATTTCCCGACTGAGAAAATGCACATGAACTAAAGTCGGAAAGCTCTTAATACTACAAATCCAACAAATCTTTGTAGTAACGCGAGTGTCCATGTTGTTTTCAGATTCCAACTTAAAAGCACAGCCCGGGAAATGAGAGCATCCAAGGAGCGCGTGAATGCAGCAATTACACTTGCTCTGATGGCAGCAGGTAGCCTTCCGTTAACTAAGCTAAACATGCTTAAATTAAAATGCCTAAAGCTAAACTTCCCTTGTATTCACTAGGGCTGGGCAAAAAAAATCGATTTTCCGATTAATAGTTTTTTAAAATGACGTCGATTCGATATCGATTCTCAAAAGCCGCGAATCGATCTTTTCCAGTATTTATTTCAGCACACATTTAAAACAAGATCTGATTAAGGTGAATCTTATCATTAGTCTTCTCCACTAGATGTCACCCTTATTTACCTTGTGCGATGTTACAACAGAAATCCTGTCATTCATTCAGCACTTATCATGAACATACGCGCAATTCGCAATGCTCAGGTGAAATGCTATAGTGATAATATAAATCTGCGGAAGCATCTGATATCACGCATAAGGCGCCATGATTTCCGCAATGAATGAATGGCGGATGGTGCGTTCTTGTCACAGAATGAGGCAGAAAATATGTTGCATAGGCTACTTTAAAATGAATACATCGATTAGCAATGGATTATAAATATACTAAAATGTTATGAAAATACCAGAGATGGCTTGAATAACAGAGATAAACTATATTGTCGCAGTCGAGTGTTTATTGTCTTTGTTTTATCATTCAAAACGTTTATTTGTTCTGTTTACTCAGTTACAGCTATAATAGCAATGCCTTTGTCCATATAAGGGATTTCCTGGAGGGTCATGAGTTCTGCTACTTCTGTGACTGGATATGTGGATTTTCTGTGCGAGGGTGCATCCAGTATGAATGAAACAGACATCATGTGTTTATAGTGCTAACGGCCAATCCATCATTTTTGGGGAATTATTATTATTATTTTTTTTATAAGTATCGTTTCAGGCACCGGAAGCGTTTTAAAAGTATCGATTTGGCACCGGTATCGAGAAAAAAAATAAAAATAAAAAAAATGATACCCAACCCTACTTCTCAGCTTTTTAAGGGACAATAGCTTTATCGTCTTTAACTTATAAATGCAGATGAACATGCGTTGATGTACCCATCAGTCTGACAGAACAAGTTTTTATATCAAAAGCACAAAGAAAGTATTGAGATTCCTCATGGTATGACCTCTTTAGATATTCTCACTAATTCAGAAAGCTACTAACAAGTGCTTGTTACACTCAACTCAAAAAAAAAACTGTTACTATCAACACTGTATAAATTTTGTGGATCTTCCTAAACAATAAGTAAAAAAAAAAAAAAGGCTAAATAATAATAAATTAGTCTGCCTGGGTCTGCTCAACAAGTTCACCTCAACCACACAGACATACAATAGCACTAAAACAATGACTAATTACATTAAATGACTAAACAGTCTCAAGACACTGCACACAGAAGAGCTGATTGACACTCACTTGCCAGCCCTTGTCTGCTGTCCTGTAATATGGATAATTCTTAGTAATGTGGGTATATATTCCATTCAGTGTTAGTTGTTTGTCTGGTGCCATTGTGATGGCCTGAACAATAAGCTGTGCATACGAGTAAGGAGGCTTGGAGTCATCCTGTTAAAGACAAGAAGGAGAGCATTGGACAGTATACTGCATTTCAGATTTGACCAATCTGTTTCAGAAATGTCCACAGGAACAATGATAAACAAGTAGGGCTGCACGATAAATCGCATGCGATATTTAACGCGCATCTTGTCAGTAAAGCCGTTCTGTAATCAGCGGTAAATCTCCATCACGTGCGGGCTTTCACATTGAGCAGCATTAACTACACAGAGCCGTTGTTCACTGACAAGCTGCGCAAAATATGATAGTGGTTTTGCGCAGCTTGTCAGTGAACAACAGCTCTGTGTAGTAAATGCTTCTCCATGTGAAAGCGTTTCACATGGAGATTCGTGATGGAGATTTACCGCTAATTACAGAACCGGCTTTACTGACAAGATGCGCATTAAATATCGCATGCGATTTATCGTGCAGCCCTATAAACAAGACATCATTATTCTACATGGCAGCATGCATTTTTAAAACATCTCGTACTTTTGGACTGTCTCCTCCAGATGCTTCCTTGTCATTTTCAGATTGGGAGTTTTCATTGATGAGATCAGCTGTGAGACCCCGACCCATTTTATAACTGGACAGTCCCGCACCTCGAGGACTTGAAGGACAGGAGTTGGCAGCGCTGAAGAAAAATTACAAATAATAAAAGCATAATTAAATCTGAGATTTAAAAGACTTCCTAATGACACTTATAGGTGCCCTCTAGAAGCCTGCATTCTGTAAGTGAACGGCGCATTACTGTGCCATCCCAAAGAGGCACACAATCACTTTCACAGACTTTTACATTAACTGTTTCCTCCTGGTGGAATGCTCTGCCCAACTCAATCCAAGCAGCTGAGTCCTTAGCCATCTTCATGAAAAGGCTAAAAACACATCTCTTCCATCTCTTTTTGACCCTCTAACTCTAGCACTATCTATTTTAATACTTGCACTCTATTCATTTTCTAACTGATTGTTTTCTTTAAAAAAAAAAAATAAAAAATAAAAAAAGAGGAGGCCTCTAACACTAGCTTTCTCTATTCTGTCTACTTGTTTTCTTTATATTTCTTACATATAAAAAAAAACAAAAAACACCTTGCTACATGTACTGCATTAGGCTAACCGAGACTTGTCATAGCACTTGCTTATTATAGCTCTTTTGTTGGTTTTGATTGCTTCTGTTGTCCGCATTTGTAAGTCGCTTTGGATAAAAGCGTCTGCTAAATGACTAAATGCAAATGTAAGTATAAGGCCTTTGGAATAAAGGTCAGTATGAGATGATGAGACAAGAAGTTGAAGCAGATGCGCTTACCTGATTGTACCTGTTGGAGACGGGAGGGGACTCATCAGGTGGGCGATGTTGTCTGGAATGTTGATGGTCAGCGGCGAGATCTGGGGTTGGACCGCTTTCACAGGAGATTCCAGCGCGGTCCTGCGGTCTCTCTTGTCGCTGGACAAGGCAGTGAATGTAATTTTGATATTTGTGCTGGGAAATCGGAAAGTGCACCTACAAAATAGGGAACAGAGTTGGAATTTCAACCACTTACGCATTGATGGAATAAATTATTAAAAATACAGCAGACATGCTGATACACAAATCAGCCAGCAACAGAATACAAAAGTAGAGCCGGTTTATATATGGACACTAGCTTGACCCGATTACACAACAGACACATTTTACCATAAGAAATATATTTGAACCTCTAACCACCATTCAACACAATAACCCTGCAGAGCGTTCACATTTCACATCATACATAAAGCATGTAAAAAAGTGCTCAGCTGTGAACTAAGTGGAATTAATAACTATGATTTGAAGTGAAGCTCATCTGATACAGACGCACCCCTCTGCAACAATAAAACACAATGTCATAACTTGCCATCCATCATACATATAAAAATGGAATCACTATAAATGTAAAAAACTGTAAATGAATGTACACATTGCAGCTTTTTAATCATGCACGCCAATGCCATTGAATGCAAGGTCAAATGCTGCGTTAAAACGTGTGACTACAATAGACAAAAACATAATCATTAATTAGAGTGCATAAAACATGAATTATATTAACCATGCTATTGTTTCGGATTACCATTTCCGATCCTTTCATTTAATTAGTGCCCCAAGCATACGTCATATTTTATTAACTTGCAAGATCTGGGTCAGCTGAGGGCATCAAGTACTGAATGAACCCAACACACTGACCAGAGGATTTTTATCATATTGGCAATAATAACAGTACTGCGGTCGTTCGTTATGCTGGAATCTTATAGGAAAGATGCCATTAATATCCTTTAGGGTCGGCTCCTAAAGATAACGACAAAAGCAAAAGTAACCCTCGAGCGTTGTGACTAGTGTTGTGTAAACAGACTGAGGGGAATGGTTAGCTGTTGTGCTAATCGAAGGCTGCAGCGCGAGACGTGAGTTAGTGGCGGTTGTCATAATCAACACGTGCTGCTCGCGAAACAAAACAAATACCGCGAGCGATCGTCGCAAACGCCTTCACGCGGCTGGCGCTGGTCTAATTCCTACCGGCAGTCGTTAGCTTACATGCGGGGAAGCTGGAGAGGAGGAGCCCCTCGTCTCTGAAACACCCCGTCCACGAACACCCCGTTTTTGCCGAGGCATCGAAGGTAGAAATCTCCGCTTCCCGTTCCAGCCTCGCCGGCGGAGAAAATCTCGAGGTGCCTCCGTGAAATAAAGCTCGAATGGCCCATGCTCACGTCCACGGAGCCTTGTGACGAATTCCGACCGACGGTGACCGAGCGTTTCTTCATCTGATACTCGAATTCTCGGCCCTCGAGCCGGGCAACAACCGACCCCGACATCCCGCTCACCGCCATCTTTATTATTTCTCTTGACGGGAATTTGAGACTATCAAAATGAAGCAGCAGGCGGCTGATGCTCGGTCGGGAGGCCTGCTTGCAAAATTTAGTGGGGGGGTCGAATCAAAAGATGAGAAATAAATACGAAGGAACGTGCCAGCCCAGGGACAGCGGCTCCAACCCACAGCCGCGACAGAGAGAATGAAAAAACGATCAACTCTACCAAACAAACCCTGGAGGCGGGGCCGGGCTGATTGACAGCGGTAGCAACCAATGGCTCTGCGGCTCGGGGGGAGAAAAATGGAATCCACCAATCAGCAGTGAGAGGAACAAGCGTGTAGCGCTGAGGGTTGGTTGTGCTGTGTGCTGGCTGACACGCATGTTCTAAGAGGCGGATTGGCGATGCTACAGTTTGGCTAGTGATGCTGTCGGTTCATGGAACACGCGCAGAATAACAGATTTTATGGCGATATAATAATCCACTCATCTCCACAGGACTTCGGTTTTCTTGGCAATAATCGTGTGTCGTAATTAACGTGACGCTTATAGGAGCACCAGCTTGGAAACTGCTCCATTACACCGTTACAGTCTACTACTCTGTATTAAAGGTGCTTTCGTAATGTTAGTATGCTGCATTGCAGATTGGAGATGAATCATATAAAATTCAAAATCTACGGATCATTTCAAGATTTTCTTTACCATACACTGTGAACAACAAATCAACATAAAAGCAGAATGTACTTTGTAAACTTTGCCATGTTTATCGCGTTACACAACGATAATACACACACACACATTGGAAAAAAGCACACAAATTAATACTAAAATTACTTCCACACACATCTTTCCACCAATAGAATCCTCTCCAACACACATCAGCCGTCTGTCCCATCATTAGAGGCCTAAATTGCTCTTATCATTATGAAAGAGTTGCCATGCTTGATTTTACAATCATCTTTAATTTGTCATATGATACTGAATTCTGTGGCCATCATCTTACATCATCATCTTCATGAAATTATGTGCATCACTTGCACGTTATCAATGACAAAAGCATCAAATGAGTAACAAAATAGCTTATAGATACATTTCAAAGAACGGTTATAAGAATTAAGACAAAAACATAAAAACACTATGTTCTTCAGGTGACGAGACTGACTGGGCACTTTTCTAGAATTTGAGTGCATTAGTCTTTAAAAGAGAAAGATCAGGGCGTCAGTGGCTACTGCGCTACTACATAAAGTGCTAATTCTACAGCTAATAAACAAAAAGATGCTGTTTAATGCACTCATCTGCAACCAGGTTTAAACGGTATGCAATTCACCTTACAATTAACCTCTTGTAAAGTAGCAATGTAGTTATTCTCAATTATCTTGTGAAGAAAACAGGATTTTAGAGCTGATAGTTTTATTTTAACCCATTTAGAGTGTAAATATAGACTAAATATGATGATGCGATTCTTCATTCCTCCCCACGGCCTAATATGTTGTGTCTATCAGTCACGTATCTTGTGTGATAGTACGGTGACTGAAGTAAAACTTTTACAGAGCACTGATTATATTAATTAGATTTTCTTAAAGCCAACAAATACGTGAAATGAGGAGCACACATTTACGCCATCAAATAGCTGTTTTGTTATACTTGTCTAAATTCTATGTAGTTACATCATTTTCATCCGGTATGCTGCGTTCATACAGCAAGAAAAACGATATCTAACACCAACAAATAGTTTGCAAATACATAGTGTGAATGATGTACATGTTTACACCCGCCTCTGCTCTTAGTTACAGAGGCGCTTCCTACATTAGATTAGGTTTTGTTAGTGGACAAAGAGATTTAGCTCTCGCTACCTAGCCAAGGACATCCAAAGCTTAAAAAAATCCAATGGAAGACAATTTAAAAAATGTTGTCCTTTCAAAAAAATAAGGTTTCCCTCTTGTCATGCCACAGAATGTGTTTTCTGCGGTCACAGTTTTTCAGTCATCTCTGTTCAAAGAAAGGTCTCTCATGTTTGAACAAAGAGAGTATTTAGAGTTTCTTTTGGTCTCTCCTCCATATGTCTGTGTCACGGTCATCTCCAAAAAGTCTGTGTTGCGAATGCCACTCGAGTCCTTTGACATCCTCAAGAAAGAAACAATCTGGTAAAGTGAAGTAGTGTCTATGCTGCTCAGATCTTCTCGTCAGTCATTTCCAGAAACTGAGCGTAAACATCCCTTGAACACTCCCCTTTTTGGTTGAACAGAAACTTGTAGTAGCTGCCATCAGCACAAATAGCTGGAGGAGGGTCGGAGGAAAAGTTAGTCACTAAACAGCTGAGAATGAACAGTTCTGCGAGTCATATCAGTAAATGACTGATTATTCACAGTACATGCATGTTACAGGCCTATGAATACAGTACTTTTAAAAATATGAGCTCATGTTTAAAGTGTGCATTTAATACGCTTCACTCTACCTATAACAGCATTGGGTTCTGTTCCAAAGGCACAGACGCAGGGCGAACCGGATGGGACCTGGAACTTGGAGAAACTCCATTTGGAGCTGAAATACTTGGGGAGAAAACTGGCCGATGCCAAGCTGTGGCAAAAGAGGGTTTGAGGACTGTAAACAACGTTTTCAATAAAATACGCAGCATGAATGCCAGATAATAAAAAGTTGACGATTTCCACTAAAACCTTTAGTGTGCTCTAACACAAACCTGGACTGCTTGTTCCTTTTGGGATCCTCTGCAGCAAATATGTGGACTGTGCCATGGTCACTCGATACGCAGATAAGAGAGGCATCTTGGTTGAAATTGATGCTGAAATAGAAATACACTGTTATAAATACACACATATTCCCCTTTACAGTATTACAATAGGATAGCACGCGTGCAGTGGATTACCAGTATATATTGGCAGTTTGTGATCCTCTTCTCAGCTCCTGAATAAGATGACCTGCTGAGGTGTCGAATATTCTGATCAGGGTCCCCTAGAGAGAAGACATTTTCTCCATTAGCCAATCGCTGACATGCAGTGCTGGAACAATCCATGTGAATCTAGTGACATGATCAAATCATATCGATTTGCTCTGCATGTCACACACATAAAACAAATGAAGACCAAAATGATGCCAAAATCAACAGTGGCACTGAACTGACTTTTTCAGATGCCGTGGCTATCCGTGTGCCCTGAAGGTTGAGAGCGATGCAGCACAGAGCTCCTTCATGTGCAGGAATATCCACAGGCGGTTTCTCTGTATTGGCCAGATCTACGATCTGAACGTGTCCGGAGTGAGTGGCTGGAAACGCTAGCAATGAATTGTTGCTGTTTGGGCACAAGACACACAAACCTGCAAAGACAATCAGAGTTTTATATGTGTCCTGTAAAGATGAACAGGTATTAATGCTTGTGGTTTAGTATAAGACCACGGATGAATTGCTAGAACACAACTTACCTTTAGGGTTATAGCATGTTTCAAAGACATGCAGCTGATGAGGATTATGAGTAAATGTGAACACTTTAATCATGGAGTCCAGGACCACCACAATTCTGAAACACAAAACAAACCAGACGTTTATAAGGAACTTAAATCTAATCTTTATTGCTTTCCTAATAAATCCACAAACTAAGGACCAGCATTATCAGAAGGTTCCAACTCTGATGGAGGGCTGCTTTCGTACAGTCCGTGGTTTCTAATTTTAATGTGTTTTTGAAGCATTGCACAATCATAGACTTGTCTGATGCAACGGCCGATCAGAGGTGTTTAAGTTAGTCAGACTCCACTTGTTAGTTTTCTTTTAGTCTCATTTTAACCAACAAAGAGTAGATATGACGTAAATAAGATTCATAATGCAGTGTGGTCATCTACATTGATTGTGAGAGTGCAGAACTCAGCATGAAGTGACTGATATCTTCAGTGATTATAAAGGCAGCTCGCTTTTTGTCAGTAATACATTCACAACTTGAATAAAAGTCATGAAACTGACAGTAAAATCCACCATAGTGATAACGTCTGCTTGAGTAGCTTTAATAAGCGTCTACAGTTAGATCCTAAAATAACTCTTTGTCCTATTAATTGTAAAGTGTTTTTGTTATTAATTTTATTACCAACTTGCCACTTTTTAAAAGCGATGTTTACTCATTTGACGTATTTTTACTTATTCTATTATATAAATATGTTCCAAGAGTTTTTGTTACGGCATTGAAATTGGTGCAGTACCATGAAATTTTACTAGTATATTACTGGTATTCTACTAACTACAATATTTGTCAGTCAATGTCAAAGACTGTGCGGCTGCAAGAGTCATTTCTGCATTTGTGATATTGTAACTTTGAATGTTCTCTTGCAACTTTAAAGACAAAATTATTCTAGCTTTTCAATATCAATGCATGAAAATAATTTGCCTATAATGATCCTCAATCAGTTGTCAGACATGTACAGAGTCAAAGAAATTTTATACCAAAGAATTTTAATGAAGAATACAACTACTAGAACATATGAGATCAATACCTGTCACGGCGAAGCTTAACAGCTTTGACCTCTGTGGAAAACTCAATCTCTATCACAGTCTTTTTCTTCAGGTCATCCCAAATCATCACTAACACAAAGACAGGAAAGATTTACTTGCAGAAATTATTTATGCAAAATCCAGTAGAACACGCATTAAAAAAGGCAACTGCTGCCATAAAGCCATCAAACAACTGCCATCTGAAACAGAAATATACCTTTATTAGGAGGGTACTTTGGTTTTTTTCCGCCTCCCACAAGCGCAAGATAATTGCATCGAAAAAGCATCTCCACGTGACCAACTCCTCCCTCAAGAAACTCTGAGAGCAAAGAGAATTAATGAGAGTCAACAGCTACCACAATAAAGCAGGGATACTGTCGCTGACAAAGATCCCATAAACTGTGAATGGTGAATGAATAACTGTTGCTAAATGTTTATCCTTATGTTTCGAAAAGAGATGGTTACAATGACAGTCGTGGACTAGGTGTATGTGTCGTCTGTCTGTAACAGCTCTGGAAAAATTATTTCTGAGTTATCATGCATTTATACTAAACTTCTGCGTGACAAAAGACAAACAGATGTCTTCATTTGTTGTGTGCATTTGCACTAATAAGGCAAGTTTTAAAAATCACAAGCAAAAATCTGAAATGACTAACTTTCCCATATTGTTTTAATATTCGTTAACCCCTGCTATAAATGTCTTATCCAAACATCTGTCAGTGTGTGTTTACTGAATATCTGCAGCATTTAACATGTCAAACATGTCATGAAGACTCACCTTGTTTTTCCTTTTCTTTGAGAGGATCTGTGTTATACACCCTGAATCCATTTTCCATTCCACACGCAAAACATCCTGGTGGGGGAAAAAAAAAGACATTTTAAGGGAAATACTGGGATTTCC